ATTAAAAAAAGATAGATACATTTATGTAGTAGTGGAATAATGTAATTTAAGAATTGTGTCTATATGGATTGATTGGTATGCTGTGTGTAAAGCAATCTATGTGGTAGGACAGCATTACTTTCAATAAAGTATTTTTCTCCCTTGGTTCCTACCGTTCACTAAAAAACCCGTTTCTCTTGCTCTACACTGTAGCAAATCAATAAGCTAGTGATTCAATCAATAATTAACGAAACGCGATGAGCTGTATCGATGAACTTTGATTTGGTATGATGGATTTGTGATGCCATCGATTAGCTGAACGCTGACTTTAGGAGCTTACCCTTTCCAAGCTCAGAGGTAGTGATGGGCAAAATCGTTCACCTTATTGAACTATTTCATTACTTCACTCCAATTTCAGCTCTATCTAAAGTAACACATATGGTAACAGATGCATTACCATCGTGGCACAGTAGATGGCGAAAGTTGTAGTTCACTAACTGTAATACAGATGGTACTAAAAATATGAAATCCTCTGCTCAAATAACAATCCGTATATTTGACTTCTGATTGATTTTATGTAATTAAATCTACTCACATGAAATTTATTACTTATTAACATTTTTTTAAATATTTTAAATTTTAAACCTAAAAAGAACTAAATATTTCTTTCATCTTCCAATGGAATATTATTAAATTATCAAAAGTAGTCTGACTACGACTTATAAAATGAAAAAAGACAATAACAATAACAATGCAAGTAATTAGTTGTTTCTAGTTAGCAGAATGAGATGAATCTCAAACATTCGAAATTAAATTAAAACTAGAAACCTATTGAAATAGAAAGAAAGAGAGGTGTTTCAATCTTCTGAAATAGCCAGTTCATCGAACTAGAGAACTAATTTAGTTCCTTCAGGCCTTTTACACGGTGGGCCAGACCCCCTTACTGTGCACCCCCTCCCCCCCCACATCCCTATAAATTGCATATCGTTGTGTTCCTTGTAACAATTTATTAAAAAAAAGCCAATGTTCTCACAAAAAAAGTGAACGCACTGCCCCAAAATGGCGTCAAAAGATGGAGGATTGACGACTTTGACTTTAGTTAGTTTTTTGGTCACTGAGAATCAGCATTTGGCTTAATTTCCTCATAATTGGTCTTTTATTAAAGCTGAATAGCCATAGAATAATAAAACATGAAGAAATATTAAAAAATAATTGGCTTAGGCTACGAAAAACACCAGTAAAGTCAATTTTTTTTACAAAAAAATTTTCAAGTTACAAATCAAGCGTCGTTTGTAATTAAACGGCCTACAATAACGCAAAACGTGCTGAAATAAAACATCTGGAGGATATATTTCTCTTTCTAAAACGCTGATTATTTTTTAAAAAATTTTAAGCAGAATTCCGTAGAAAATGTACTTATGCAGCAGAAAAGCGGTACTGGCGTGGGTGCCTACAGGCCTCCACCACACCATTCAGTACACATAAATGGCTTAGTTATAGTGATATAATAACATTTTTGGTACATTATATTGGTTTTATTAACAAACAAATATTAATGCAATAATTTAATCATAAAAAAAAATTAAATTTTTTTAAAAAATTTATTATTATTTTTTTTTAATTTAACCTCCTTTATTCTGTAAGTAGGTCGTTTAAGAAGACCTCAATTGTAAAAATGATATAATGATAATAATAAAACTTAATTACAAAATACTTTGCTAAATATCTTGATTTATTTTTAATTTAACGTTTGCAATTTAACACTGTGTTTTGTATATTTACTGATTCTTAGAGGTAATTAAAATTTGTATATACTTCCCAGGAAATGAGTCATATTAATACCTGTTTTATAAACTAAAATAATATATACCTAATCTGAACTATATATAATAAATAGCTACCGGGTTGTTTAGTAAAACTCATATATCACTAAATAAAAATTAATTTTTATTTCCTTTATTTTGTGCGGAAGTTGGACTATATCATAAATAAATATGAAATTTTAATATTGAATGAATTAATCTCTCTGCACAAATAAAAATAGAAAGGGTGACGCTATAAGTTCTTCTATAAACCAGAACTGATTGTTTGTTTTTGGTATCGAAATGAGGAAAAACGCGAAATTGAACCAGAAAATTGGAAAAATGCAGTAAGCGAACGAGAAAGGAAGTGCCAAAACCTCGGAAAAGATAAAAAGGACCAGTATCCATTATATAGCTAAATGAATGTTTAGTAGACAGATGAACAGAATATTTCAAGATGCTGCTAAAAGGGGTCAATTGCAGTTTGGATGATATTAAGTGGACGATGTATGTTTATTATGGTGAAAACCACTTTATTTTCGATCGCTGAAGGTACACATTGGGACGATCTTCACTTTGAAGCAGGATATAGAGAGGTATGTCGAGAAAGTTATAGCTCATAGCTCTCCTGTTTAGTGCATTTGTAAAAGATTTTTTACAGCAGGATATAGAGATTTAGATATATGGATATAGAGAGGTATATCGAGAAAGTTATAGCTCATAGATCTCCTTCTATTTAGTGTATTTGTAAAAGAAGGAATCTAAAAGGAAAACGAGTATTTCTGAAAGACAATTAGATATTAGCACAATCCAAAGTGTGACCCACAAAGCAGATAGAGAACTATTTTTCTTTTTATATGGACTTCTCTATACCTCTCTATATCCTGCTTCTCTATATCCATATATCTAAATCTCTATATCCTGCTGTAAAAAATCTTTTACAAATGCACTAAACAGGAGAGCTATGAGCTATAACTTTCTCGATATACCTTTCTATATCCTGCTTCAAAGTGAAGATAGTCCCGATGCAATCGAAAATAAAGTGGTTTTCACCATAATAAACATACATCGTCCACTTAATATCATCCAAACTGCAATTGAACCCCTTTTAGCAGCATCTTGAAATATTCTGTTCATCTGTCTACTAAACATTCATTTAGCTATGTAATGGATACTGGTCCTTTTTATCTTTTCCGAGGTTTTGGCACTTCCTTTCTCGTTCGCTTACTGCATTTTTCCAATTTTCTGGTTCAATTTCGCGTTTTTCCTCATTTCGATACCAAAAACAAACAATCAGTTCTGGTTTATAGAAGAACTTATAGCGTCGCCCTTTCTATCTTTATTTGTGCAGAGAGATTAATTCATTCAATATTAAAATTTCATATTTATTTATGATATAGTCCAACTTCCGCACAAAATAAAGGAAATAAAAATTAATTTTTATTTAGTGATATATGAGTTTTACTAAACAACCCGGTAGCTATTTATTATATATAGTTCAGATTAGGTATATATTATTTTAGTTTATAAAACAGGTATTAATATGACTCATTTCCTGGGAAGTATATACAAATTTTAATTACCTCTAAGAATCAGTAAATATACAAAACACAGTGTTAAATTGCAAACGTTAAATTAAAAATAAATCAAGATATTTAGCAAAGTATTTTGTAATTAAGTTTTATTATTATCATTATATCATTTTTACAATTGAGGTCTTCTTAAACGACCTACTTACAGAATAAAGAAGGTTAAATTAAAAAAAAAAAATAATAAATTTTTTTTAAAAATTTTAATTTTTTTTTTATGATTAAATTATTGCATTAATATTTGTTCGTTAATAAAACCAATATAATGTACCAAAAATGTTATTATATCACTATAACTAAGCCATTTATGTGTACTGAATGGTGTGGTAGAGGCCTGTAGGCACCCACGCCAGTACCGCTTTTCTGCCGCATAAGTACATTTTCTACGGAACTGCTTAAATTTTTTTAAAAAATAATCAGGGTTTTAGAAAGAGAAATATATCCTCCAGATGTTTTATTTCAGCACGTTTTGCGTTATTGTAGGCCGTTTAATTACAAACGACGCTTGATTTGTAACTTGAAAATTTTTTTGTAAAAAAAATTGACTTTACTGGTGTTTTTCGTAGCCTAAGCCAATTATTTTTTAATATTTCTTCATGTTTTATTATTCTATGGCTATTCAGCTTTAATAAAAGACCAATTATGAGGAAATTAAGCCAAATGCTGATTCTCAGTGACCAAAAAACTAACTAAAGTCAAAGTCGTCAATCCGCCATCTGTTGACGCCATTTTGGGGCAGTGCGTTCACTTTTTTTTGTGAGAACATTGGCTTTTTTTTAATAAATTGTTACAAGGAACACAACGATATGCAATTTATAGGGATGTGGGGGGGGAGGTGCACGGTAAGGGGGTCTGGCCCACGGACTATTTGGATTTCTAGGTGAACTGTGAACTAGTCAAAACAAATGAACTTCAATTGGCACCAACTATAGTAACACGGACGGTACTAGATCAGCGAGATCATCTACTCCAATTTAAACATATTTTAAGTAATAACAATCAGTATAATTGACTTCTGATCGATTCATAATTATAATTATAATAAAATTCATAATAATTACCTATTTTTGGTGTATGTTTAAAATTTTAAAAACTAAAAGGAACGAAATCTGTCTTCATTCTTTGAAATATTAATATGTTTCGAAAATAGTCTGTTTATGATTTCTGTTTAAGTGTTTTTACTTACCTAATATTAAAAATGCGATAATCAAAAATTATTTTCAAGGAAATCAAATCCTTTTTTTAATCCCTATTGCAATGTAAGGACCATAGGCCTTATCTTTACATTTCCTAAAGAAAACCACTACAATGCCTCTGATTTTATTTTGTTGTAGTTCACGGAAACTATAATTCATGAGAACTATAATTCACGAAGAACTATAGTTCACCAAAAATAAGACTGGTCTTCAGTTCTTTTCGGGAATTAGTTTATTTGAATTAGTTCGTTCACGAACTACCCATCACTATTCATAGGTTCTTTCATGGTTTTATTAGTGTACTTTTTTAAAGGTTATGAAAATTTGTGTAATTTTGTCTGAAATGTTTTGAAACTTAAAGGTTAAATTTTGCCATTTTAAGATGATGACGGCTATCTTCGAAGAATCCTTAATTGCTGATACTGATGCTGCAAATAGTAATATTTCAATGGAACCCAGTAAATATTTATGTTTTTTTGTAAACTTCTTTATAGTTCATATTTCTTTTAAATATTCTATATTATATATGAGTCATTTTAAATCATATTTTCAGATCACTGCTATCAAATCAATAGTAGTTTCTTTTTCTGATAATATTAGGTTCATGTATTTTTTGGACTGGATGTTGGAGCCCCTTTAGACATCCCTATTAATTAATTAATTTATGTTTTAAAAATCACATCATTATTTATCAGCATTAACATGTCTGTTTAATATATTTTTATTTCAGTTTTTGTTGCAATATGAGTGTATATATTGTTTCTAAAACACTTTCATTATATATTCCATATCCCTTAGAACATTTTGTTGTTTTTTTTGCAGAATCTATCATTTCAATGCCTTCTCCCTCACTCACTCCCTGCCATTTAAGTATAATCGACACATTCCCATGGATGGATGAGTTCATTAAGCTTTGTCATGAAGATATGATCAAAGCAAATATAAGAAGCCTTGAAAAGTTAATGAACTTTTATCATATGTAAGTTTTTACTTAAATGCTTTTAATTTCCTACTATTTTTAGTAAACATATTTTAAGAGTGAAGTGAGGAATACACTACTTTGTGAATATTGAATATAAAATATAGTAAAACTACAGTAGTGTCATGTTTGGTAGTCAGTTAACCTTTTCTACATTGATGACACTATACAAAAGATTACAAAACTTTTTGAGTGACTGATTTCCATATCTTTCTATTTAAAATATATGTTACATTCTGAGAACAAGACTGAAAATATGACACAAGCTCAAATGGTTGCACTGAATATGGAATACCAAAAATTTCCAATACCAAAATATCCTAAGAATACCAAAAGTTGGGGAATGTTACAGGCTGGGCGACATTAGTGCAACTTTACTATTACGATTTATAATTATTATTGCTCACTGATCCCGAGTAACCTTGCTATCTCTATTAACATTTTGAAAGAGAACATCTGATCAATGGTAGACTTCCCTTGCATACATCTTTGAGCTAGCCTATTAAGTATAAATCTCTTGAACAGAATAGTTGTGTATAATTATTTAGGTTCTTGAAAGCATCAATATTCGACAGTAGTTTGTCTATTTTAGTAAATCTCCTTATTTGTATATTGGGCAAATAACAGTTTTATACCACTTGCTGGTTAGCTCTTCTCTAATATACTTAAGCTGCTCCGAATACTGAGTAGTTGTTCTAGGGGCTCTTTTGCTATTTAATTTTCCTTTGTAAAATCTGATCTCATAAAATCTGACAGGGCATGTTTTTCGGTTATTGTTGAAGAGTTGATAGTTTCCCTACTTCATTTTGTCGTCTTCTCTGATCAATGTGAAGTAACTCCTCTTGGTGCCATCTTCCGTCTATAGAATTTCTTTTCAATTCTTCTTTTTTCTCTGTAAAACACGTACTGAATTCTAAGAGAGTCATCTTTGGAAACTTTGCTTGTATACAATATTTTTTTCATCTATGGATGCACTTGTGCCCTTAAAATTGCTCTAGACATTTATTGGTGACTCAGCATGGCTTCTTTGCATAAACCCCATGTCTATTCATTCATACAGTCTCAAACATTGTCTAGACTCGTAGTAAACTGTTCAGCAATCTCTTGATGCTTAAATTCCAGGGTGGTTAATTTCTAGTAACATTCTTCCTGCTAACTTCTTATGACAGATATTCTTGCCTAGATTCTGAAAATCACAAGGTAATGCAAAATTAACTTTTGCATCTCTGTAGTCCCCCACATCCATCAGATTGGTGATAGATCTTATTCTGAGTGGATGCTGAACTATAGTTAAAGAATCTATTGTTCATGCATATAATTTTATTAATAGGCTTCAATCCTATAATATGCTAGGCTGCTCTCTCCTTGACCACAAAATCAGTAATGAAGCTGTTTTCGCTGTAACCACAATTATAGAATACTGTGTGTTTCTTGTTGAAAATTCTTTGACCAGTCCATCCTATCTCCTTGACAGCAGCAATTTCTGTATTTTAATGGTAAGACAAAGAAAAATAACAAGCCTTTCCCACCTTCAGCCAAACCTTAATATCCTCTTCAATTTTGTTTTTTCTAGTTATCCTAGATACCTAAAATTCTATATGTGTTCAAACACGTTCGCTTTTAAATCGATATCATCGAAATTTTCACTGTTTTTGCAGCTAACTATATATTTCGTCTTATATTTATCTCGAGTCCTAGTTCTTTACCAGCTTCCATCAACATTCCTGGCAAAGTGTTTCTTAAACTTACTCAATATATCTACAGGGTCAGTGAGGATATTGTTATTTTCATCCCTAATTCCAGTTGTTACAGGTCCTAAACATTTACGTGATTTGTTTATATCTTTGTACATGTCTCTTACGTTGTTTTCGATTCTATTGTTTTGTTTTTTTCGATTCTATAATTTTGGTTTCACTTCTCTTTATTTGAAAATAATTATTTCTGCAAAAAAAGAGGGTGGTAAGTGAAAGTTGTGTGACGTGTGCACCAGATTTTTCTGGTTTAAATTTGTAATAAAAAGTTTAAATGTTATACTTTCAATTATGTTTCTTTCTTCATCACTCATTTTTGAGCAGCATTTTCCTATTTTCAATTATTTTATCACCATAACATAATTAATTTTACACCTGTTAGTTCTTATAGCTATGTTTTTATTTGTTTCAGAAATGTTATCGAATCTGTTAAGGAATGTTATTCTGAACCAAACAGAGTTACAAAACTTAAAAGGTCCATGTCAGAAGTACTGATATTTTTTTACCTTTCATACTCTGAATTGAAACTGGTAAGTAGCTTTTTTAATTTGATAAATGCCTTAATTAAAATAATAAAGTGATAGTAAATGTTGCTTTTCCTATTTAATGTGAAGAAAAATGGATTTTATTATTTTCTTAAAATCTGAATTTGTTGTCAACGTTTTTTTTACTGGCTCTTCTAATTACTGTTTTTTAGATAGGCAATTAAACATTTGCCATCTCTCTGGTCATTCAGATGGCTGATATTTATTAATATTACTATAAACCATATTTAGAGATATCTCTGCTATTACTAAAAATCAGAAGATCATTATCTAATCAACAATGTTTCATGTAATTGGAACTTTAATTCTTTCTCTTTTCTTATTTAAAACTTTTTTTTTTTAAATAACATATTTGGCTGAGGAGTACATAGGAATTTTTTTTCAGCCCTTAAACTCTTCCACCTTTCAAGCCCAAATGTCTGATCTTATGGCCTTGTATTTGGATATGGAAATTGTGGCATCTAGGTATATTATAATTTGTTTCAATTATTTTTTCTTTACCAAGATTTTGTTTTTCATTTATTTTGAAGTTCATTATATCAGTCAGTCTATTGAGTTAAATCATTTTTAGTTTTTTTATGAAGAAGTAATCACGTCTGTCTTTTACATTTTAGATCTGGCACAGAAAGTTTGCAAAATATAGCGAGTAAGATTACATCTTGTTTGTTTATTTATTTTGGTGAGTTTAATTTTTTTTTTTATTAGATTCTTCATTTTCTTTTAATTTGTGATCCTAATATTTGGAAATCCATTTTAGGTTGTTCTCATGCTCACATCCTTGATACTATTCTCAAATCAAAAATGATCAATAGGGACTCTTGGGAGCTCAGTGATCTAATATTTAGGTTGGTAACTTTTAAATACATTAATTTAGTTTAAATATTATACTGTTCTTGTTCTGTATCTACTTTACTACTTAAAACGGTACTTGTCAGATAGGAGGCCTGGACGAAACCTCCCTTGTTATCTAATGTTACATCATATAACCTCCCTTCTTATTTCATGAAAGCTTTGAGTTATTCCATTGTTTGTTTTCATCAAATTATGAATGTTATTACATTCTGGGAATTACCGTCTTCAGAAGAACAGGCTGTTGAATATTTTCAAAACGCTGGGATAATTCCAAATGTGAAATTGTGTGAAGAAGGTCATCAAATGAAGTTAGACAGGAAGGCGAAATGGAGATGCTTTTGTACCACTTGTAACAAAAAAGTTTCTATAAGGAAAGGAATGTGGTTGGAGGGATCGAGGATTTCGTTTTTAATGGCTTTAAAATTTATTTATGGGTGGCGAAAAAGAAACACAGAGAAATAAGAAGTAAAAAGACTTTTTTCTAAAAGAAAAATCATGTAGGGAGAGTTTTACCTGAGAAATGTATGTTTGGCAGAGTTTAAGGATTATAGATAATTGAGTATCGACCAATGTCATATAAAACATATTTATTTCTCTTGCTCTGAAGATGATCTTTATTTTTGAGACCAAAATGTCGGCTGTAAAAGAAAGCTCACCTCAGCAAAAAAAAAGGAAAAAGAATTGTTAATTTTATATTGCATTGACTTAATTTCAACTAAGCATAGTCAGAGACAACTACCAGTCACCACATCTCTACCAGATAATTTGTTTTATTTCATTCAAGTTCCATTTATTTTTATTTTTTTCTCAATTTAAAATTATTATTCCTAAAATTAATAGTCAGTTGAGATTTCCTCAAAATTCACAGTGAAGTGAGTGGTGTGAAGTTATATATTGGTGCAATTAAGAGTCCCGTATGTTGTCACTGATTAATCCACACAGCACTAAGCCTTTGTTGCTGTTCTTTGCATCATAACAAACCCACTTCTCAAATACTCATTGTACTTTCCTTAATCCTGTCCATGTCTAGTGTCCTGACTGCCATGTTACCTCCCAATCCCTTCTAGCCCTTTTTGATGAATTCCTACAGTATTTTACTCAAATCTTTTACCACATAATAGCAATTTCTAAAACTTGGCTTGTCCTACATCCCTTCACCTGCAATCTCTCCGCCTAACTATACCTTAATCCACCATGACTCACTGTTAAGGGGGAGTTGCTGTGTATGTCCTTGAAAGCCTTGAAACCCAAATACTCGACTATTCTCTATCCGATCACCCACAAATTGAGTTCCTTATTATAGAGATTTTCTGTGATGTCTCTCCTCTCCTATATACCATGGTATATTGTCCTCTTCATGTTGACATTTCTCACTGACTTCCTTTCATTGTGGATTGGTGTTTTCTAAAACTAAATTGGTACGTAGTGAGGAGCTCTATTTGTTTTATTATTCCAGTAAGTCTCGGGTTTCTGTCTGTTGATTCTGACAGCTAATGAAATGTGTGTTTAGAGGTACTTCCTCAACAAACATATCGCTTCTGACAAACAATGTGACTCAAAGTAGGTAGGTTGTTAAGTGAAAGTAGTGATGCATGCACCAGATGTGTTTTTAATACTCGTTATTTTTATTCATTGTTTGGTATCCGAAATGAATGTGCCTTAAAAAATTAAATTATTATTGGTATATAAAAGTAAACTTTAATAATACTTGAAAGGTAAAAAAAATGCTAAAAACAAAAAAAGCTAAAAAATCATTACCCAAAGATATAGCATATTGAAGCTTTTATAGATGTTTTGTTTAGTGTTCTTACATATGTTCCTATGGCAATGGGTGCACTTTTACTTTTTATCTCAAAAACTACTTGTGAAACCTTCTAGATACTCATTTGAAAGACAATTTGGTTATCTATACAGTTAACATTAAAAATAAGTCTTAAACCTAGATAATCTTATTTCATTACATGTTGGTTACACTCTGTTATCCTTTGTTCATTATAAATAATAATTGTCTGTAATAGGAGAGTGTTGAGGGATTCTCCTGGTTCATCTGTTGATATGATTACATACATGAGACATCTGCTTGCTTTCAAACTGTGGAAAGGAATAATGGATAGTGTTGAAGAAAGAAAAAAGATACAGTTAATGGCAGAACATCAACTGATACCACCCTCTGATTTGAAGGAAAAGCTTTCCTGGAGCAGTGTGTTTAGAGATATATTTCCAATAATTTCTGAATCTGAGACCAATATTACACGATTTGTCTTAGACTCTAAATTTACCATCAGGGATAAAATTGAGGTTGGTTTGATTTTTATCATTCTGTTTGTGTAACTGATGAACAATAAGTTGTATCATGCAAACACTTTAATAACTAACTTCCAACTTTTATTGGAAGGCTATAAATAACATGAAAATGTGGAAGTGGTTAAAGATGTGATTTCACAGAGGAAAAATTCATCAAATTAGTCACTAATTTGATTTTCTAAAATGTTATTTAATTCTTATACCTATTTATTTAAATATATTACTTATCGTATCTGAAGTTAGTTCAGTAAATATATGTAAGGTTATAAATAGACTGGATTTTCGTGCAGTAAAGATCCGAAAAATGGGCAACAAAAAACTTAAAATCTTACAGAAAAAAACAAAAATACATAAAACTGTGTAATTAATACCTAAAAATGTCCAAAATTATCAATATTGTTTAATTTATAATATAAATATCTCAAAATCTTATCAGATCTTATGTTAAACAAGAGATAAAAGAAATAAAAAATAAATAAATTAAAATGCAACATTGAAAGTGAAATTCCCATTTATAATTAACATACAACAACAATAAATTATTTATGATTACCCTAAATCTTAAAAAAAGATAAATTTAAACAACATTTCAAGATAAAACATAAAACACTTGGATGGAACATCTATTTATTTTTCTCTATACAGAATAAGGTCCCAGGAGTTAACAAACAAATAATCAAATATATTTGTTTGAATCGTCTTTAAATTGGTTAATCGGTCAATTGTCTAACATACAAGGAATGAGATAATGCTGAACATTGAAGGTTTTAAGGAAGGAATTATGGGGTACTTATATATTATATAGACCACACCAATTTTTGATATATAACTTTTATTAAAAATAATAATAAAAACTATATTTTTTAATCAAGTTGAAATTTTCAGTATTATACATTCCAAAACTTTTTTATTAAAATTTAAAGAATTTTTAAGGAACTTTAGGAATACATTGTAATATCTGAGATTTTCAAGTGTTTAAATATTAATGTTGAAGCAGTATTTCTAAATAACAAAAATAAGTATGTTTGGGGATTATGCTAGTTCTTAAAAAAAACTAATAATTCTAGAAAAGCAGTTTTTTATTATTCAATACTTTAGGTAAATTCTATTCCAAGAATATTTCTATTTTGTGTTAACTTCTTCCTTTTGTGATGTTAAATTTGATTTTTGCTTTTCACATAGTTATGTACATTCCTCATAATTTTCAATCTTGAGTAATGGTTTTAATTTGGACAGTGTAGTAAAATAAGATGGTATATATTAACACACACATATACATTTGTATTTATAAATCATGTAATTTATTGCAAAATGTGTAATTTAATTAAACTTCTTCTTCCTCTAGCTCCTTTGTGCCGTTAAGCGTGAAGCTGCATTCCCAGCCCATCTTGTCCACTGGTCTCTGTCCCTGGCTAGTCTTCTCACCTTCGGTATGGTGCGTCCTCTTGCTGTGCCCATTTTTCCAATGTAATCATGGTACGTATGTCTCGGCCTGCCACGAGGTCGTCTGCCTTCCAGTCTAGCTTCCATAAACCACCTGGTCTTTCGGGTGTCGTCCATTCTGCAGATGTGCCCGAACCATTTCAACTGCTTGTCTTCCAGGATGCCACGGATTGATATTACCTCAATTTTCTCATTGATTGTGTCATTTCTGACACAGTCCCTCTTAGTTTTGCTAGCTATTCTTCGGAGGAATCTCATTTCCGCTGCTGTGATCCTGCCTATGGACTTATCGAGGGTTGTCCAGCTTTCAGATCCATAAAGAAGTACCGGAAGGAACACCGCCTTATATATTGTGTTTGCCCTTTCTGCTTACTTCCTGTTTTCCTATGATTGTTTGGCTATCTGGTAATATATCCCATTGACCTTCATCACCCGATTTAGTACCTCCTGGTCTATTTTACCATCTTCATTGATGATTGTCTCCAGATACGTGTATGCATTTGTTACCTCTAGGAGTTCGCCATTACTTAACATCATTGGCTCCGCATTATCTTTTTCAATGCACATAACCTTGCTCTTAGACGGGTTTATATGCAGTCCTCGTAGCTTCAATTCTTCTTCTACTCGACTAATGATGCCTGTAGAGCCTTTTGTGAGTCTGCTATAACAATTATATCATCGGCATATAGCATAGCTTGAGCCATCACTGGTGTCAAATTCCAATATCCCACAACAGCCCTTGGGGTGCTTCTTTTACACACTTTCCAAATTTCATCCATGAGAAGGATAAAAAGCAGAGGACTAAGACTTTCCCCTTGCTTTACTGCTTTATAAAAGTGGAAAGTTTCTGATGTGTGTCCATTGAGCATTATTACACCCTTTGGGTCTTGGTATATTGATTTAATAGCACTCACGAAGTTTGCAGGTACTCTTCTTCTAATTAGTGAGTCCCATATCTCTTGTCTCAGAACTGAGTCGAATGTGGCCCTAAGATCCTGAAATGCTAAATAAACCGATTTTCCATGGTCCCATACTTTTTCCTCAATCACCTGTAGTGAGAATATGTGGTCTTGGGTCTGTCTGCTGGGTCTGAAAGTGGCTTGCTCCTCCTCTAGATCTTGCTCTACTATATGCCATAGTCGCTGTTCAAGAATTCTTGTGTATATCTTGTACACAATTGAGGAGAGGCATATTGGTCTGCAGTTCCTGCATTCAATTTGGCTGCCTTTCTTGTGTATAGGGATTATGATATTGTTCTCTCATTCTCATGGTATTAGCTTGAGGTCCCAAATCTTTCGGAAAAGAGTTTGAAGGGTCTTGATCATTTCGTTGCCTCCATATTTAATTATTTCTGGAGCTATTTCATCTGGTCCTGTTGCTTTTCCCATTTTGATTCTGGCTACTGCAATTATAGTATTTCTCCGATAAGTGAGATATAGACACGAAGATTTTTAGGAGTTCTGTCAATTTTAGGAGTTCAACTGTCGCTATATATGATCATTTTTTCTAAAAACTCTAAGAAATCGAGTCAGTAAATCCAATTGCTATAACCATTCAAAATGATGTTATAAAAGCCATCTTAATCACTGAATGTGGCGTTTTCATCGTTAAAGCCGATACATCGTTATAACCATTATATATGATATTGTTATTCGAAGAAATTTTAATGTAAGCTGCAGCCTTGATTATTATAAGTCCTTCAAAATTATTGTAAACTATAAAACCACATCTCTATTCCAACTTATTAAAAATCTTATTTTAATAAATAGTTTTTTATGTTTTCCCATTAATTTATCGAGATATTAATAAATTGAAACTCCAAATCATTATTAATTACTATTAATCATATATTAATCACACATTAATTATTAATACTAAAAATACAATTGAAAAACCAGGACCTTGGTCGAAACGGCAAAAGTCTCGGAAAGTGATTCGTCCAATGTAGGCTATGATGCCAATAGGAGTCGTTTCTGGGAGTTTTTTCTTATATATTCAGTTTTGATCTCTGTAGCAACCATAAATTTAGTTTAGAGATATCCAATTGTCGTTTAGTAGTATTGTTCAAAAATTCGATTTTACAGATAGGTCAGAAACGGTAACTGTTAATATTGGCTAACGATAGATACCTTTATATTATTTAAATTATATTTTTATTTAAAGCATGTGGCAACGGTCGTTGCAATTCATTGGCTGGCAAGCACCCGTTCGTCCGATCCGTGGTACTCCTTTTAGTCCTGGAGTGCGTGACAAAAAAAGTGTCATATTTCATACTATGGTTTATCTTTATAAATTAACCATATCCACAGACCTGATGTGAAAAATGCACGTCTGCCAGCATATAATAGTCTTAAGACCTGAAATAATAGTCAGTTACCACACACTTATGTTTTTTTATAAAATATCAGGCCAAAGGTCACCAAATGTACACAGTTTTTACATCATGCAATATTTATTCGACGTTTCGGCTTCGGAAGCTATTTTCAAGATCCGATACGTCGCCGGTACTGTGACCGTGCGATCTGTGAAGTTATCTAGAGTCATCAAGCAGACGCCCGGGTGAGCCGGGCGAATGGTTTTGATCCAATAAAAGCGTCCTTTCCATCGCTGGTCGGGACTTGGTTGCATGTATTAGCTCTAGAATTACCACAGTTATCCACGTGAGTGGCATATATCCGGTTTCACTTGAAGTCAGCTCGTACTGAGACTTACATGCTTGTCTCAAACCTTAAGCCATGCAACTATTGGCAGGATCGACCAGGGAGGAGCCAGGAAGTTGGGTCAATGCCGCCCTGCTTTGCCACTAGGCTCCTCCTGAATTCATATATACAACCTTCCTGTATATCAACAAAACATTTCTCTCTATCTCGTGCTAGCAGAACGAGAGGTTGACCCTACGCGCAGTACCCACCGCTTTATAAAATTTCCTAAAATGTATCATTATAATATAAATCGTCGGTTTGTCATTCTTTTATTTCATTTATAAAATTTTCTGTAAGAATATATATTATTTTACTATCTTATCTTAGGCTACAGCAATTATAATTTAATGATTAAACTTCAAAACTATACAGAAAATCTTTTTCTCATCAGGCCTGTTGATATGATCAATTTATAAGGACAAAGCTTAGTATGAAATATGACATCTTTTCTGCCATGGGCTCCTGGACTATTATAAGAGCATGTAAAAACCTGAAATGTCTCAGTTTTTTAATTTTTTTATTTGGGTCCACCCCCTCAACGCCATTGAAGATATTCGAAGATTGTCCTGGGTGGAAGTTGGGGGAGTTTCCCCCAGCACCAGGACGTGAACTCGTAATTATTTTATCATGTAAACTTGAGTTTATGAGGTTTCCAAAAAACTTGTGTTTTATACAGCTTTAGCCCCTTCAGGTCCAGTCTAGTGAAGAGGTATGCTTACTAAAAGTCTCCACTCTTAGGTGATGAGCCAGGTGTGGTTGGGGGACGGACAGAAGAGTAGGGGATGGCCTAGAAGGTTACTTTTTTCGGATTTTCGCTTATATCAGGAAAACTATCTGTTGTATCGACAAAGAAGTTCTGTACAAAATTAAATTATTATAAATTAAATGCAATATGATTAATCATATGCCATTTTTTGCTATCTCGCTTAGTTTTCGAGACATCCGTACTCAATTATCGCTAATGTGGGAACAAAATTTTACCCCATGTTTTTTACTGCATTTGAATAGCCATTTCTTGACTGCTTCGGTCTACGATTAAGTCATGGGAAAGAAAGTTTTTAATAATTAAATTTTCATTTCCCATGACTTAATCGTAGAACAAAGCAGTCAAGAAATATATATATATATATATATATATATATATATATATATATATATATATATATATATATATATATATATATATATAATTTTACTAGTTTATCTTCAACTTTTCAAAAGTTAGATCAATTATAACTTTATTGTCAATTCTGAGAATTTGCAGTAATAATTAATTTTTATATTATTCGTTATTATATTGTGCTAACTCTCTATACATCTAAATTTCTCTCTCTCTCTCTCTCTATATATATATATATATATATATATATATATATATATATATATATATATATATATATGTATATATATACATACTTAATACATGCGATAATTAGAAATGGATAATTAGGAAACTGAGCGAGATAGCGATAAATGGTATATAATTAATCATATTGAAAATTGTATCAGCTTTAATTTTTATAGAACATTTGTCGATGCGATAGATAGTTTTCCTGATATAAGCAAAAAACAACAATAAACAGAAAGCAATTATTTTTTCCAAAATTTGCCATAGTTGAGGATAGATATTTTGATAACTAAGCGAGGTAGCGAAAAAATGTATAGAATCATATTGCAAATTTTATCAGCTTTAATTTTGTATAGAAAGTCTTTGTCGATGTGATCAAGTATTAACTTTTACATTCTTTAACCTTATGAATCAAGTTTAAAAAGTGCTTCCTTGAGAACATTATATTTGTTTTTTAAAAGACTGAACAGACTTTTTTTTACTCTAATCTTTCAATTTTCAATCATGTATGATAAATTAAATAGTTATAAATTATATATTTAGTTATAGTTTATAAACTATACATTTTTAACATTTTTGTCTCCTGACATATATTGGTCAGGGAAAACTTTCATTAAACTGGGTCAGGGAATTTCATTATTAAGTTGGTCCATAAAGCCATTTGGGATGGCCATATTTAGTATAAGGTGTAAAGAGAGATGTATCTTATAAAGGGTCAGAACAGGGGCTGTAGATTATCCCTTGTTTAATCTTCTTAAATGTAGCTGCTCATCTAATTATAATGTTACTTCATTTTCTAATTAGGATTTAAACTTCAGACAAAAAAATAATTAACTCATTTAGTGTTTCAAAATATTTTTAATTATTGCTATTTTTTACTTACTTGATTTTGCTAAATAACTCATGCTATCTCCCATGAATGGTTGTTTATGGATATGATTTTTTTTTTATTGTTGATTGTCACTTTTCAGATGTTTTTGAAAGCAGTTGCTGATCCAAAACTACCATGTGCTCCAGATAGAGATAGCGAAAGTTTGGCTTCTACTAATCATTCCTATATTCCTGATGGAAAGGTATCCTTTTATTTATATAACTAAAAGTGATGATATAGTCAGCTGCTGTGTGTGTATGTGGGAATGCTTGTATATCAGTTTATGCTCATACATGAATCTTATATATGTATTAAATAGTTGGCATTAGGTTATATATGTTGTTCACTTATATCATTTTGTTGTAGGATGATGAACACAATTGGTTAATGGATGATTGGTCTAAAATAAATGCAGAAAGTGATACTGAAGATAGCCTACTATCAAATAAAATTAATGATGGTTTTGATAATGAAAACCTATCGAATCCTACAGTGAGATCTATTAGTAAAAATGAACTAGAAAAGAAATGGATGCCTGTTGAAATGGCTTTTGAAGGCATTGGTAAAGATGAAACTAGTTTCAAAACTGTAGAAATTGAAAACATATTTAAAAAAGATCAGATCTATCAAGATAACAGTTTCTGGGAAGGTGGCATAATGGATGTGGCCACTGAAGTTGAACTTCCATCAAGTCCATTAAATGTTACTGACATTCCCTGTACTAAACTTGAGCCATACTCATCGCAGTTAAAAGAGAATGTTGTTAACCCATGTGATATATCTAACACCCATCCTCACGAAAACTATAATGACTTTGATTTAAAATCAGAATTTATTGTAGAAAATACTCCAGGGCAAGCTATGATTTTCAATTTACAAAATAATCCTCAATTTTATCTTAACAAAGAACAGATATTTGATGCTTCTTCAAATGTTGAAGACCACTGTTCAACTCACGGATTTGGTCTCATTAATTCTGAACAAATCATAACTGATTCTAAATCAATTGAGACTCCAAGAGCAAAAAGTATTGTAAATAAAAAATATTTTCCAGTTACCATAAATATTCCTTTTGAAAAACATATTAGTGGGACACTATGTGAAGAACAAAATGAAGAAGTATCTTCTGAAGAACATAATGAAGAATTATCTTCAGAAGAACATAATGAAGAATTATCTTCAGAAGAACATAATGAAGAATTATCTTCAGAAGAACATAATGAAGAATCATCTTCAGAAGAAATTAATCAAGATTTATGTATAGAAGAAGATAATGAAGATTTATCTTTAGAAGAATTTACTGAAGAATTGTCTTTAGAAGAATTCAACAAGGAAGAGGTGGATTTGAGAGAATTCAATGAAGATTGTATCAACCAAAGATCTTCAGAAGAATTTGATGGAAAAAGGCATTTTGAAGAACATGTTACTGAAAAAACTATAGAATCAAGTAATGTGGAAATACCTTCAGAACAAAGTGAAGAAACTCCACCAGAAAAAAGAGGCATTGTTCATGATTTCACTTTGAAAAATGATAATAAAATCTATAAATTTCATGTAAAATTATCATCATATTGGGAAAAACTAAATAGACGTACATGGATCAGTCTTCTCTTTCCTCTGTTTTCTGAACAAGATATTAAGACACCTAGGTGTAACTGTTTTATATGCACACAAAATTATAATACAATTATGAAAAATTGGAAGTCTGCAGTGACTAATTTATCTCGTCTTCCTAGGGATGTCTATGATACTGAGATATTTTCTGGTAATTTTGAGAATAGCATTCTAAAAGATATGAAAGAATTGTTAGAAACTGATGGACTTAAATTATTGGTTTGGGAACCTGAAATGGACGAGGTTTATACCAAAATTGAAGAACTCATCAAAGAGGAAAATATGCATTCTAATCTTCCCCTTAAGAAGAGGAAAGCATTCTCATTCAAAACGTATATTAAAGATGAAGAAAAAGAAGTGTCATATCCCAATATTCCAATGATCAGTATTGCCGAGGTAGAATTGGCCAAAGAGAAATATATATTCAGTACTATGAACATGAATCTTCCTTCAACATGCAATGCTATCCCGCCCCCATTAAACTACATGCCTGATTACCTCTCCCATCCTGATTACCCTTACCCAACTGATATTGAATGTGATGATGTAATGCTTCAGTCCAACATGACAAATATTTCTACAGATCTGAATCCAGTTCTGGATGCATTTACTACCACATTCATTCCCGAACCTCAAGAACAAAATAGACCCAAGTTTAAAACTCCTGCACAGCTCAAAGAGTTCCAGCACCTTAGTGCAGCAGAAGCTCTAATTAATTTTTCATTAACATCGCGGTCATACTCTAATGAAAATCAAGAACCTGGAAGAGAGAATGAAAGTGAAAAAAGAAAGCTTGAGCAAAAAACCAAATCATACAGAAAAAGGAAACGAATTATTTAAGATAATTGCCATTAAAATGGAAGGTCCTATGAAATAGTTGATTTTCTAATATGCATACTTTGTAATTACTGTCTGATAATAAGTATTATTTACATGTATATAGAGTGTATAGATCTCCGCTGCATAAAGAGAGCTTATTTTCTACTGAATTTTATTTCTATTTTTATAATTGCTATCTTTCATTTTAAAGTTGAATTTATTATTGTTTTAAATAATAAGACAGTTCAGTCAGTATTGAAAGAAAAAAAAACATTAAAATTTACATAAAATTAATAATGGTAAGCATTACTTACACAATAGATAAAATTATTCATTTTGATTGTTTTTTAGTTTTAATTATTTTTGTTCAAAAATTGTTGCTCAATTAAAAATACTAAAAGTCAAGAAAGAAATTATTATCAAGAAAGAACATTGTGCTTTAAAGCTATGAAGAAACAGAGAATGAGACAAACACTGAATTATTTTAAAAAATACATCCAACTGAATAGTTTGTTAATGTTGATAATCAAAAATTGTCTAACAGTTATTGTAATTTTCATATGTACCTAATATTTCATTGTAAACTACTTTTAAGTATTATTTATTTGTAAATAAAAACTGTACAGGAGGAAACTTTATTATGATAATTATTTTTTTATTGAAAAAAAAAATTCTATTTTGTTAACAATTGTACAATTAATTAATTTTATTTTAGTGTTGTTAGAATATTTATTTTAAAAGCAAACTATTATTGGAGAATCATTGCTTGCTTAATCAAGTATGAAACTGCCAATGAAGAAAGAAAAAATATTCAAGAAAGGGCATTGTTTTCAACCCTCTAGTACAGGTATACTTTGGATCATTAACGTAATAAATCTTTTAAGGGCTATAATACCTTCATATTTCATCAAGTGATGCAGTTGCTAATTATTGTTCAATACTAAAACAAAATTTATGAGATATTTATTCGTTCACTACTCAAAAATTATTTAAAATTATTGAAGCATGTCTTCTTGGGGTAAGAAAATACATAATAAAATAAATGCAATTAAAAAAGACTTGGAAAATAGTATTGTTGCAGTAATTTTATGCACAAGACAAGAAAGGTAAGAGAGTCTTGATATGTTTTTTAGGAAGTGTAAAGAAGATTTGGCTGAGTTGGTAAGAAATTGTTTGGACTTGATTTGGGTTAGTACTGCATATGAAAGGAATTATAGAATGTTCTCGATTAGGATTAGGTTTAGACCATATAATAAACTAGAGTGGGCATGAAGGTAAGAGTCCAGATGTCCACCTCTGTGATTAGGAACTGATACTCTCGCTCAAGGGATTTTCCTTGCGTTTAATGAGGTTTTAACTTTTTGACCACCTGATTACATTATGTACTCATTAGTTTGTGATGAAATATTGCTTCAATGAGGTAAATTGCAATTTAAAAAATGAGTAGATTAGTAGATCTATAATTTGTCAACTATTGATAGCTCAGGGGTTTCAAAACTATAGTCCGCAGGTTGGAGCACTTCCAATTCGTCCCACAAAAGTTTCTTTAATTACATGGTAAACTTTTAAAAAATATGAAAATTAACCAAATTACTCATACAAGAGGTTACTACAAATTTTATTGCATTTTTTTTTTTCTCTTAGAAAGCTCATTTCACAACTGCAGTGTCTTATAGAACATGATTTTTTTTTTTTTTTTCATCACAAGCCATGGCCAGTAGGATTTAGATGCAGGTCTCGATGTGGTTCATGTGACTTAGTAGAGATCTCAATTTTATTTCTTGTCACTTTTACATATGTTTTAAATTTTTTTTTTTAAATGAGTTCAAATTATTAGAACCGACTTTTTGAGTATAGGTTTTATGTTGCCGAGTTATAGCAAATTTTGTCATTGGAGAAGAACTCCCTTCTTAAGAAAAAGGAAATTTTAATTCTTGGAATGATTTTATATCACATGTTCTACATTTGTATCCTATACATATAAATTAGTTGTTATTTCATATTTAGATACTCATTTCGCTTAAATGGAAACAAGAATGAGTGCCATATGACAGACAAAAAGACTAATAAATGTCTTTAATATCATTGGTTGTGGTTGAGATTCCATGAACAAAATTAGGAATCTTTCTATAATTATAATAAGTTAATAGAGCCTTTTAAGGTAAATCTACCAGTAATAAATCGTTTTCAACTCATTGATTGATAATAAGCTTTACACACCCCAAAGAGAGTACAAATGAGCACATTTTCAGTTAATACTCTAATGAGGGTGATGTCTGTATCATAATGATATGCCATTTTAGGTGATTGGGAATTGATTTTTAATCAGTGGTTTCCTTATCATTTTCATTTGGTGTTAAGTTAAGAAATTTAAATTCCTTCATCGGTAGTTTGCCATTTATTACTTATAACTGTGAAGATTTAGAAGAAAGAAGCGTTGGTCTGTTCCTTCATGATAGTTTTAGGACCAAAATCCTTTTTAAATCACCTGATATCCCACATATTGAATATCTATTTGTTCAAGTTTCCTCTAGAACCTTCTCCCTACTCTATATCCTTATTTACGCGCCCCCTCGTGTCCAATTTGAATCCTCTCTCCTTACACATATTCCTCTGTTTGAAAATGTCATAATTGCAAGCGATCTCAACACTGACCTCCTTTCAGTCTCTCCGGACAGAACATACCTTATTGACCTGTTTTTCTCCCTATACCTATATATTGTACCTTTTCAATCCACCCATCATAGCCAGTTCACTGATACCTGGCTATACTTATTTATCATAGATTCCTCTCAAAACCTATTATCCTCCAGGCAAAAGACTGTTTCCTTTCTCTCATCCCATGATCTTATCGAAATCTCATACAATGTTATTATTCCTACCATTGTTCCCAAACAAATTTCCTGGAGAGATCTCGATTCCTTATCAGTTTCCTTAGAACCCATCTATTCCCTTTCTTCCATCGATGACATGGTGGAACACCTTTCCTCTAACCTTCTTGATTTCCTTAACTATCATGCTCCTCTTAAAACCCGTACTTTTAGGACGTCCTCCTGCTCCTTGCATAAATTCACAAATCAGAGAGATGATGAGAGGAAGAAAAGCTGCCAAAAGACGATACAGTCGTACCCTACTACCCCAACACTATACTATATTCAAATCCCTACGGAATAGTACACAAATATTCTTACGCCAGGCCAAAGCTCAATACTTTAACAATGTACTATCCCAAGCACCTAATCCTAGATCCAAATGGACAATCCTCAGGAAACTCTGTCATAAGCTCCAAAACCTACACACTTTATCCAGTAGATCCGAACGAACTAAATATCTTTTTTGCAAACCATCCTACTTCGGTATCCACATCTGACCCCGTACCTTATCTCATCACTGAAACCTCCTTTGAATCAGATAAGTTTTTTTTTTCTTGATATCTCTCCAATTGACCTACTCTCTACTATCCTTAAATCAAAATCAAAACCAACAACTATTGTCCTGACCGAATTCCTATGAAAATCATTAAACTCTGCCTACCAAACTTATTGCCTATACTCCTACACATCTACAATTTTTCTCTCCAAAATTCCATTTTTCCAAAAGCTTGTAAAAAAAGTCATTGTCCGGCCGTTGAACAAAGTCCCAGCTCCTTCACTAGTATCCAACTTCAGACCCATTTCCAATTTGTCCAAGCCTCTAGAAAGATTAAATCCTCACTCTCAGTTGAACAACTTTCTAGAGCAAAACTGTCTCCTCAATCCTCTACTATCCGGTTTTCGTTTCCAATACTCCACCCAATCTGCTTTATTAAAGATTACCCAAGACCTCCAATCATCCATAGACAAACAGAAAATCTCCATCCTAGTCCTTTTCGACTAATAATATCCTCATTATCAAACTCCAAAGCCTACCTATATCGAATAGCGTTCTGAAATGGTTCCTCTCCTTTTTATCCCATCGCTCCCAGACAGTAGTTATTCCTGGCAAATATCCTTCCTCCTCCCTTCAATTAAAACAAGGTGTCCCTCAGGGATCCTCACTCTCTCCAACTCTGTTCTCCATTTATATTAGCGACTTTCCCGACTCCATTAGTCATACCCACTATCGCTTATATGCAGACAATCTACGAATTTACTTATCGTTCCAACTATCTGAGATGCCTGAGGCTATCCGAAAACTACAAGAGGATATTGACTGTATCCTTAGGTGTGCGGAATATTAAAGTTGAATGCAGACAAAACCAGGGCAATCTTAATCGGCTCCAAGCACCTCATCAGTTTCCTTTCTTTCTCCCGTTTGCTTTACCTAAATAACCGTCCCATCCATTTCTCTCCGACAGTCAAAAACCTTGCGAGTGATCTTTGATCAGAACCTCTCTTGGAACAACTATATTCCCCCAGATTAACCGTAAATCCATAACTATCCTTAAACAATTCCTTCGATTCCGTGATTCCATTCCAATAAAAACCAGACAGCTCCTTGTAACATCCCTTGCCTTCCCCCACTTCGACTACGGTTGCTTGCTGTAAGGAGGGCTGTCCACTGAACTGGAGGCGAGACTGAAGAAGATTATGAATTGCTTCATAAGATTCATATTTGGGGTTCCCAAGTGTTCTCATATTTCTTGTTGGTACACCGAGTTGAAGTGGCTATATCCTACTTCCCGACGGCAATTCCTACTTGGTATTTTCCTTTTTCAAGTCCTCAGAATCAAAAACCCTCCCTACATCTTAGAACTCCTTACTTTACGCTTCTCTATCCACTCTCTCAATACCAGATCTCAACCTATAGATTTATACATCGGCTCCCATAAAACCACTTCCTTCAGTAAACCTACCTACCTACCTCCTTATGAAACTCCTTAACCATCTCCATACGTCAAACCACGCCCATAAACTCCTTCAAACAACTCCTATCCTACCACCTACTGCAAATTCAAACTTCTACAAGCTTGTAAAAATTTCCAGGTTATATAATTACGTTGGCCACCAGCAGTTAATTGATAGAAGTCATTTTATTTTTAT